ATCCCTTCAAGCCTTCCTCCTCGCGTCTTCTAAAGAAGCTCTTATCGCCGCGTTGTCCGCAGCAGCTGAGGTCGATGGAGAGGAACTTTTTGATAGGTTTTCCCTTATCTTAAGTTCCAATAACTCGAAAGACGACGCTCGCGGCCGTAAAACTTGGCGAGCAACCGCGAAAGGCCGTGGATCGCGACAGGCGAGCGAGAATCCTCAACACCAGGATTTCGATGGGATAGGCCGATTACCTGCACTCGAAAAGCTTCACGACCTGGGTATCTGGATCCATCGCTCACCACAACGCGATAAGGACTGGCTTGAGGCTATTGGGATACAGATAGGGATTGATAATATATCGCGGTGGTCATCGTGGTATCTGTTTATCGATAAAACACTGCGGAAACAGAGTGAGATTAAGGTCTTTCCCGTTGATCACGAAGACGACCTAAATGGCATTAAGCTTACTGCTGAGGATTGGGATATCCTTAGCAAAGCTCACTCATTCTTGCAACCGTTTGCAGGTGCGACTCTATACGCAGAAGGGGATAAGTCATCAATTAGACAGAGCCTTGAGATTATGGATGTTCTCCTCTACCACTATGAACAAGAGAAGGTAAAGTAGACGTCTTATTAGGTATCTTTACTAATAAGTTATTAGGAAAGATACTCTACGCCTGGTCAAGAAGATCCTCAGATGCTCCACGCTATTAACATGGGATGGTATGTCCTTAGTAAGTACTACGGCCTCACAGACGAAGCACCTGTATACGCCGCAGCCCTTCTTCTCGATCCTTCAAAGCGGTCAGCCTATATCAAAAAGAACTGGACCCAAAGCTGGATAGCGCCAGCAATTGATAAAGCTTATACACTTTGGGTAGAGGATTATAAAACGGCTTTAATCCCTGGTTCCGAACCTGTTCAACAGCCCCAACATCGAGATCTCTCTGGGTTTGATCGTTTACGCCGCAACTTAGCTGTAACGGCAGCTAATTCGGATGAGGATGACTTTAGCGTGTTTATTGAGGCCACACCCATTGCGATTAGCTGTACAGCTTTAGAATGGTGGTGCCACGAGGATCAGAGACGCCGATATCCAAAGCTTAGCCAGATGGCTATCGATATACTCTCAATCCCTGCTGAATCTGCAGAGGCAGAAAGGGTGTTTTCAGGTGCAAGAAGGACTTGTAGATACGATCGACTCAGGCTATCGTGTGCCAATATCGAGAAAATCGAGTGTATTGGTAGTTGGCTTCATCAGGGATTAATTACGCCTTCATCCAGGTCCGGAAGGGGATTTCAACTTGAACCAGGCGAAAATGAGGCTATCCAGGGCTGGACAGATGAAGTGATTGATGAGATAACGTGGTTTGAGGACACTTAGCTAGCTAATTGATTTTTTATAGCTTATGTCATCGATAACGATCGATATCGACGTCGATATCGATATAAAAAACTTCGAATCGATATCGATATGAAATCTGCTATTTTATATCGATATCGATATGCCCATGTCTGCCACCACGTACAGCTAGTAGTTGATTGGCCATCTCTCGTACGTAGCTGAGCGTAGGGGCAAATCCTCGCGCGTCAAGCTTCCTGATAGACTGTATAATCGCCTCCTCTTCATGCCTCTGCAGCTTTGATGCATTGTGGTGAGTATTGTGATCAGAAGCTGGTTTGGCGCGTTGCCTTCGAAGGTGGTTTCGGCACGTTGTACAAGCAGCAGCACGTCGCGGCTTAATGACGCGTCGGATCTCATAGCCGGGATAGCAAGGATAATTCCTGTCCGGGGACGTGATTCAAGATTAGGTTGTTGTGGCATTGTGGAGATGGTAGAAAGTGGTGTGGTCTTGGCACAGTGCGCCATTTCAGTGGTGTGCGCCATTCAGCGGTGGGCACGTTACTATACCGCCATTTCTCTAAATCCAACTCTTAAACATCAGTGGTACATCGAGACCTGAACGGACAAAGTTAAGCGGCCATGGATTTTAACCGTGAAAGAGCTTGTTAAGAAGTTCTGGTTAGAAGAGTATCGGGTGATACTCTACTAAGCAGGCGTCTGTACAGCCCAGACTTTCAAAAACAAATCAAACAAACAAATTGATTGATAATTTTGATCATATTTTGGTCCGTGACAGCGGCGTACCGCAGAGAGGTCAGTATCAAACAATTTGTTTGTTTGATTTGTTTTAAATCTGCCATAACGCCAGCTGTTCCGGCTAAGAAAGAGAAGGCTTGCTGCTTTTAAAAAGCCATAAGCGGCTTAAGCTCCGCCATGAGGCATCAGCACCTGAAATACCCGTTATCGATCTCTTCGATCAGTTTCTTGAGAAGGACGTCATCCGGCTCGATGAACATGACTCGTTTGACGTTATCCAGTACTGGAATGATTGCTACTACTGCAACCTGATCAGCACGTATGCTCTCGACGTACTAGCTGTTCCACCAATGTCCGATGGTGAGAGGCTATTCAGCAGCGCAAAGATGCTGCTACCGACCGACGCTCGAGGCTCAAGATAGATATTATCGAACTGCGAGTGCCTTCGATCGTGGTATGAACCACCTACACGGAATACTTTCGACGACGAAGGCATCGGGAGACTAGAAGGTGAGCCTAACCCTCAGGAAACTGGGCAGCAGGGTGGGAGTGATGCTGATACCGAAATGGACAGCGCGGAACTTCGGATCGTGGACTAAGACGATCTTCTGGACGAGGACGATATTGATGGAACCAGTATGGACATTGTGGATGTCCATGACGCAGTATATAGTGTAGAATAAATGTGTATTCGGCCACTGGACTGGCCTTTTCCATTGAAAAGGATTAAGCAATTGTGAGGAACTGGATTTGCACTGGCCTGGGGAGTCCCAGAGCCCTTGCACCGGACTGGACTGGATCCGAACCCTGAATCCAGTCCAGTCCAGTCCAACAAGATCACTGCATCAAAGTAGCGGGGCCACTTTGTCATTTCAAGCCAGGAGGAGACCTCCGTCTTTGCGACTGGACTGCTGTACGTCTGCGCAATGACCTGTTGCTCGAGTTGGCCAGCATGAAGTTGCTCGTTGATGATGGCCCGAAGGAGATCTACCTTGCGCGTCTGAGGTTTGGCCATTAGGTTCTGCAACTTAGGCGGCACATGAACGACAAATAAAGAGCTTTGGTGGCATGCACAGTTGTCAACAATCAAGTAGATCGGCATACTTGATTCCTATCTAGGTATAATTCAATCCTGATTGGGAAAGTGCTAACCTATATAGGAATCAAATATGCCGATCTACTTGATTGTTGACAACTGTGGTAACCCGTAAACATGTGGACAGCAAATGGTGGTGTACTGGTCAAGGGAAGCCCGTGGGCGGGATACCCTGACACTTGCTTGTACCGTGGATTCAGGCCCCCGAAAGAGAAGAAGGACGTTCTTTCCAAGGACTAAGTCGCTACGGAAAAAAGGATACTGTAGTATCATGGAGCACGTTGCGCCCATAGTCGATTCTTCTAGCTCAAAAAACCAAGCAAACCTGTACATAGCTTAGCTATTAGAATGCAAGCTGCGGAGACTCGTACGAAAATTGAGGATGCATGTGGTGTGGCAACGTCGACAAGATACCGGTTCATCTGCCTAAAGGAGGACGCTTTGCCCAAAGTTTGCTCTATTCTTGGTCTGTTAAGATCACGTTGCAAAGTTTACTAGAGACTGAGCAAAGCTACGTTAGCTGCTTAGGTACGTTACTTGCTTGCAATTTACGTTGAAGCTATTTTCGTGTTTAGAATTAGGCGTTAACTCGTCCCGGGCGTTCAGCGGATAAGCTCGGTATCTAACACGTTATACATAAGACCTAATACTACTATAGCTCTTTGCTTACTGGTTTGATAGGCCTCGCACGATGTATAGTATTACACCAAACCAGAATAAGTTGTATTGCAATCCGCAAGGTCAAATTGCGCTATACCCGTATTGTTCAAAACACAAATCAACTCGCAATGCATTCTGTACTAGGGCTTTAAGAACCACTGGCGTACAAACTCCTGGCCCTTTGCCTAATCCCAGTTTCCAGGCTTCAGCTCCAAGCTTACACCATTCCGCATATCCTCCATAATCTTAAATGCATCCCATGGCTCATACCTATAACCCTTAGGGTAATTGGTCGAAACTATCCTCTTCCTCCATCTCACACCCGTCTCCATGCTCACGATGGCTTGTCTAGTTTTCGTAGGCGTAAGCCTCGGGTCGTGTTCCCAAATCCATTTAGGATGCTTGGGGGCAGCGCGCCGTGGGTCCAGCTTGACTTTATCCCAATCAGTGGACGGGAGGAGTTCGGCGTTGTATAATCCCATTTTTTTGCGCGCAAGCAGTTCGGATGAATCTCATGCGGACATGTGCACGGACAGACTCAGCGATATTCTCTTTTCCACGAGCTGCAAGCATGAAGCAAGCGAAACCGAATCTTCAATCCCTTGTGTAGCTCCATTACCGGATGACGGTAGAAACGAATGCGCACAGTCGCCGACCTGAATCACTCGTGCGGCAGATGCCCAGGGCTGTGGGTTGCGCCAGAAGGGGGGTTGACGATGGTATTAGGAGGCGTGATTCGCACCAGTTCTTTGAAGATGTTGCACCATTTCCAGGAAGATTATCAATGCCTTGAAGTATTTCCCTGGGCGTCGATGGTGTGATTCCAGTTCTCTTCTTCGCTACCAGTGACCTACAGGCATCAGAAGGAGTCGGAAAAGGAGAGGAAAGTATTACTCACATCGTGGTTCGGATCCAGACCATAACACTTCGCGCGAAAGTGTCAAAGCATAGGTAGAAGGCCTACAGGAGTTAGTACTGAAATGCAGTTATCTGTTCGGCTTTGTGACATACCCCAAGAATGTTCTGACAATCGGCTCGTTACCCGGCTGCATCTTGAAGAACTCTTTCACTTCAGGATTCTTATCCAAGTGCTTTCTTGGGAATCAGCACGCCACATAGCACGCCCCGAAGACTCCGCTCTCACCTGCCCGCCAACTAGCTTGGCTCTTCGGGGCCAACTCCGTCGGCCGCAATCACAACGTCTGCTTCGTACCGCGTGCCATCATCAGTAACACAGCCCCCCTTTCTAACGTCTTCAAAGTAGTCCACTACCTTCCGGTTGAACTCGATTTTGATACCAGTCCTTACAACGGCATCGAGGAACATCCTGTAAACCAGCGGGCGCATTTGAAACTCCCCAGGTGCAAGGTTAGGATCAAGTCCTGCGGCGCAGACGTTGGGAGACCTTTTGGGTGGGATCATAATCTCTCCGCTGTGTTTGTACGTTTCAATCCAGGCGTTGTAAAGGGGAGATGTCCGATACACTTTTGGATTTCGCAGTGCTTGAACCAGCGAGTTCCACTGAGCCCCATGAAATACATGTCACCTACAATTATTGATCAGGAGCATGTTCTAGTTACGACGCAGAGTTTTGTAACACGTACCAGCTACATTAATGTCGGCGTTTCGCTCAAGCACTCGGACCTCGTGGCCTTTGCGCTTGCATTCCAGCGCAGCAGAAAGTCCACCTAGACCAGTTCCAACGACGAGGACATCGATTCCGGTGGGTGGGTATGATCCTAGTGGCTTGAAACCCATGTGGGAGTCGCGATTCGTAAGTCCAGGCATGACAGATGTATCGGTTGCTGTAGCCCTACTGGTTCAGGGATACTGAAGATATCGAACTCAGGAAACACTGAAATCCACCGATTTTAAGCAAAACAATAATTTCATAGGTCTTGAGTAACAATTGGGGTTCCGAAGTCATGTCCGATGAAGATCTGTTGCCCAGCATCTTTTGATATTGGTGATACAACTCATCTTGGAACTTCAGTGGTACTTAGGTAACCGTTCCCACTCGCGGGCTTCAAGCGCATGGTTCCCCATAACTTCCGGAGCTGGCCAAGGCAACGACACGCGGCACGCTCGAAAAGAACCCCATACCACGGGTCAACGTCACCACCACGTCAGCCGTCTGCTACGCCTGTCAATCGGGCATAGCTTGGGCTCCGTGGTTGAAACCGAGTAGGAATGACCCAACCAACCAGCCAGGCTTTTCATATACTAGCTTCTCTCTCACACTTTTAACGCATGCAATGCTTACTTGGAAATACGTCATTCAAGCAACCATTACCTAGGTACGCTTTCACCAGCCGCCACCCGGGGGATCGTCCTACCACTACCATACTTCACCGCAGATGGTGTAACTTTTCCCATTTTCCTAGGATCATATCATCTAGTATTGTGATCGGCTTCGGGAAGAGCTTCGAGAACGCCATGCCTCTCGTGATGCATGGCCAAATCTTGGCGAGACATCAGAAGTCCCGGGGTCTACCTAGGTACTTTTCGATTCTTCACGCCCAACACGATGGAGATCCCCTAGGAAAGCTACAGCTGTTCCATTCGAGGCGTAATTCGCCTGCATATAGCTACATAGTAGCGAACTATGACATACGTTGGGGGAAATTGCTTCACGGCATTCTATTATTATCGCTGCGAAAACATGCCAATGGATCCCCCATAAAAAAGTAAACCGATCTTTCGAATTCTTTGAATTCGCCAAAAACCTTCAATATTAATATAGGAAAAGCCCTTTTTTTGCATTGCAACTCAATTAACTTCACTCTATTATTATTTGCTTAGGTATAAGTGTAAGCCTAGGACCACATCACATGACTGCTCTGCAGGCATGACTAATGCGTCCGTCTCCTTAAGAGCTCAGATCACGCACTTGTAAATATACACAACAATATACTCATACATAAGACCATATAATACTATCACCCCTTGCTTACAATAAGAGTGATAACAAGACGTGTGAGGAGAGCAAAAAGCTGAGATAATAGCTCTAAATCGATCTGTCGGAGTATTCGGAGACAAATAAGCTTTAGTTATAGAAGTCATGAAGTCGTCGGAAAGACCGGATAAAAGCTCTTTTACCCCTCTTTTGTCCCACTATACCACTAGGAATTAGTCTTAACCTCAACAGACTAAAAGTAATTAAGCTGCAATGCAATAAGAAGCCTTTTCTCATACTACTATCAACTTTGTTTTTGACATTACTGGCGATTTATTTCCATTTTTAATGGGAAATGATGACATCCAAGGTTCTACGAGATTATTTCTGCGATGAGTAATAGACTTTTTATGCTTGTCACGTGGTGAAATTTCTAAGACCAACTTATCATCTGTTTAGTACGCGTGGCATAGATGTAACAGAATGCTCTATTGCAAACGACAAAACACTAAGCTATGCGTACAACCTCAGCCTACTCATCGCGACCAAAACGCTCAGATAGGACCCAAAAATAGAAATGACTACTCTAGCTAATGCATCCCCTCTCGTCCATCTCCATCATGTCATTATGCTACTCGTCCAAGCATGAGCAGCCCCCAAAAAGCTTCAGGGCTGCCCCGGATGCGTTTTCTCAACATTCTCTTAACGACCTTCTTCATCATAAAGTTGGCATCTATCTCGATTTCCTCGCTGAGCTTTCCGTCGGCAACGCGCCACGTGCCGCTGATGTTGAGGACGCCAACGGGGGGTTTTGGGCGTTGACGGGGGTGTCAACGCCATCGGGGACGTTGGTCGGGGTGAGCTTGTAGGTTTGCTGCAACAGGTTAATAATGCAGTAAAGAAGAAGAAGAATGGAGAGAAAGGGTAGTCGTACCTGGCCCAGAGGCTTCTTGTCGGTGACGGTGTAGACAGCGCAAGTAGCTTTGTCGCCAGATTCGAAGGCAAGCTTAATGGGGCTGGACAGGGTCTTGATCATGAGGTCGTGGTTGTGGAGCAGCAAGACAGTAGCGGCATCGACACCGTTAAGGGGGGAGATCTGAGAAGTGGGATGTTGACTAATTACTTGTTGATTGAAGATTTGGTAGGTTAAAGAAACTGGCCGCCAGTAATAGGTTTTAAAAAGAAGATTGGTTGATAAGGCTTTGTAGATTTGATGAGAGAAGTAGAAGCTTGTTGGATGATGATGTTGCTTCACGGTGAAAGGCAGCAGAATATATACACCTCCTCGCTTCATCCTTCCTATCGGTTTTACTCGCGTATAAAGTCCCTACTTATTCTCCAAGACCCTAACCCGTTGTCCGAAACGTCAAGACGCAGTCAAGTGCATATCTTACACCACTACACGACGTGGGGTCTCTCGCCTATACCCCAGCGTTCATACGATTTTGCCGCGCATGGCTTGTACCAGGCCGACGATTATTCGTCCGCATAGTATCGAAATAGTAAAATACCGAAACACATCGCCTGTGTTTCCGAGCCCGATATAGGCAATGTCTGTGCGTTGGGCGCTGGGTTCAGGATGGTGAGGTAGGACGATTCTCGTTAACCGAAGAAGATCCAGACGGTTGAATCGTGGACTTGTGACGCGAATTTTCAGGGTCTGGCACGTTTGGCAAAGCTGAAATAGCTTTTTCTGGACGCTTTGGAAACAGCTTTGAGTCGCGTAATTCGAAACAGAGGTGTTTACCCACTGGCTTGTTTGCCTGCGATGCTGGGGGTGCGCTGCTCGCTTCCCTCAAACGAGTTGTTCGGTCGTCGTTGATCAGCTGTAAATTTTGGGAACCCCGTAATCTCCGGATTTTCCAAGCTCGGTCACTGTTTTCCCAAACGTAGTAATTGGGTGCTGGTCGCGAGCAGTATCGGAGTGTTTCGCTGGTGGGTCGGCAGAATCGACGGGCGCCGCGGGTTGGGGGGCCGTTGCTCTAGCGCAAATCTTAAGTCAGCACGCGTGGGTGTCGCGTCTATCCTCGACCAGTTCCCCCATCGTTCGTACCAAGAGCGGGTACGTGTTTGCCTTTTTCGCGTTTCACTTCTTCCTTTTTTCACGTTTCGCCGCTTGCTTGGAGTGCGGAGGTCTTTGCGTGACGTCAAGGTTCATCTACGTTCGATGGAACGCGGTGTAAACCTAGGCCCATGTGATGTCCCAAAGGGTCTGGTACGTGATGGAAACGATTGAGGACATCAGGGAAGCCCATAATATACCTATCAAAACTTCTAAGATGCATTCATCACTTTCAAATGAGAAAATGCATAACATTGCTAGCCCTGATTCGAACCGCCTGCGCAGACCCCCCTTTTCACCACAAATACAGTCACAATCCCATCCTTCTACTACCCTACAACCTCGACTCCACAAGCGAATCACCTCTTTTACCCTAAAGTCCACACCTTCACTCGGCTCAAGTGTCCCTCTTATTGATCCTTTTAACTTCCCCAACCGTGATATCGGCTCATCGTCATCCCTATCCCTCACATAGAACGCCCAGTCGGCTGTAGGATCAATCTCCGTCTGTGAGTACCCGTTGGTTAGGTTACTTGCATCGCTCGACACTAAGAATAAGCGTAGAAGAATGGCCAGCCTCCCACTCAAAGGGAAGCGTAAGCGATGGGGAGGCTGCATTTTACTCTCTCGTTCACTCAAGAAAGCCCGACTAAACAAGGCAAAGGATGAAGCAGAAGCTGCAGAACAGCTCAAAAAGGTTGAGATGAAGAAGCTTAGGGCTGCTAATACACATACAACAAGAAGATTGCCCAAGAGAAGCGTGAGAAACGAGAGAAAGATAAGGTGGTGAAGGAGAAGGAGAAGGCAGCAGAAGCGCGGCGTAAGGCATACGAAGAGAGAGAGACCGCCAAAAAGGTCTCCAAACTTCACAACAAAGCAAGCGCAAAGCTTCCAGACCAATGCCTAAGCAGCGGAAGCGCCAGAAGCAAGTGCTGCACCACCGCCACCTTCACACGTGACCCGTTTTGGCCGCAACACCAAGCTCTCAACGAAATTCAGATAGAAAAAATTATTCGCAAGGGTCTATTTAGTGAGACGCTAGCATGTTAGCTGTATATAACGTTGTGGTGTGGCTCTACAGCTTCAAGTTTGATGGGGTGGTGATGTTGGTGGTCGGTCGTTACGCGAAGTCGGTCGGCAGCGAACACCGATGTTACGCGTTTGAGCGATGTTCCGCCGAAATTCTTGTCATATCGGATAAGGAAATCGCATTGCAATCCGCAGTATTAAATCGTGCGATACCCGTGTTATTCGAAATACGCACCAATACACCAAGCATCATATACCTAGGACTGAACTGATCCTCTTAGGGTAGTTAGACGAAAACAGGGTTTGGAACCTGCGTCAATGCGAAAGACAACGAGCGGAACCCGCGCTACTATGCGATAGCAGTGGAATTCTAGGCAGTAGCTTGCAAGTAGATAGGTAGATAAGTAGGTAGGTAGGTAGGTAAGCAATAGATCATTGAGGTTTTCCCGCGGACAGCTGTCAAATCGTGCCATCGTAACCCGCCGTAGTTTGGGAGGAACATGGTGGCAAGTTCGCAAGTGGGTGTCCCAAACCCGTGACAGGTACTGCGGTGCAACAGAGGGTGCAGATAATTCCTTCTCGCTTGCGACGAACATAACATAGTTTAAAGCAATCGGCCATGTTGCTTTGAAATAGAGAATGCGCAATCAGCGATCAGTAACTCTCATCCTGGCAATCGGCATTACGTACAAGATGGTTAGCGATAGACGCTGGTGTTAACAAGATCCAATTTGTTGCCATATCTACGCTCCGACCACAACTATAATGAAGGCAAGAATGTTGCTTGTCAGTGAAGTTGGCTTACTGCGCATCCTGCTACCAGGAGCATGCGATATTGTGGGATTCACGCTAGACCCCAAAGCACGTAGATTGGGGGGGGGCGCCACCTAGACTACAACAGGAGGAAATCAGCACCTGATTCGCGTTGCATGAACGCGTTTTGGGGCAGGATGCACGATTACCTGACTGAGAAGAACCAGGAGTCGATACCACGGGGCATCTTATACTAGCTCCTCCAATCGGCATCCCAGGCAGGGGGGGAGCCGGAGCCACGAACGCGGTTGGTCGTTGGCTGCGGCTGCAACCATCGCGCGTGCGGGGACAGCTTAATCGATACTGTTTTGACTCAGCTCATCCATGGATATTGCTATGCAGATGCATTCCGTTTGGTTCTGTACGGCGTTCACAGCGTGTAATAGAGGCAGCCGAAAGCGGGGCCCCTATGCTAACGCCTCTCTCCACCCGCAAAGGATTCACCGGCATTCTTGGCAGCACGTCGCTAGCAAGCCCGATAGGCAAAGCTATTTCCGCAGTACAAATTATCCACGCATCGCCGCTCGAACGTTGCGTTGTAAGCCTCCTCGATCGCCCGCCTAGTCCACATGTTTCGACGTCACTCGGTCGCTTATGGAATCTGGCCTTCTCGTGGTGGTAGTGCCATGACATCCCGATACGTGCGGCCAGTTAGCTTTGTTGGTTTGCTGTCCCGCCCATCTCAAGGGCCTTGCGCAGCCTGCTCCGCTACAACCCCCACGGCGCCTGTGGAGTCGCCACTCCCCGTGTCACGCCTTCTACTGCCAGCTGCTTCTCCCACCTTAACATCGCACTTCCTACTTTTAGATCCCGCGGCCTTCCCTCACCTCACCATGCCGGCTGAACGACGAGCTTTTACTGCGACCAGACCTGTCAAGACTGAGCGTACTCACGGAGAGAATCAAGAGCGGTATGCTAATCCTGCTAGTAGACCTGGGTGCATTGTCTGATTCATGCAGTGCCTACATTGCGGCTTCGCGACGCAGTGACCGCAGCTTGGAGGCGCGCATAGAGTCTGCGCGTCGAGCTTCTGAAATTCACAAGAAGCGCACTGGACGCGCTCTTCGCGTCACTGAGCAGGATGTCATCAATGAAGAAATGTACGAGGAAGAGGATGATGATTTGCCAACGCAGTACCAGCGTCTTAATGCCCATCTGCACACGACGTCAGTCATGTTTTACAAGAAGCTTCACGACTACATCGCGACTCAGCATGGTGTGAGAAACATGTTCATGATGCAGTACAACAACCCTCAGTTTCAGCAATTTGGTGGTCAATTTTCGCCGAACACTGGTGCCATGCCGCAGGCGAACACCTGGCTGAACCCATCCATGCTTCCACCTCAGCAGTTCAACCAATCCTCTCCTCAGCAGGGTGTGCACCAGCAGTCGCAGCCGTTCAGCCCCAATGGCGCTCAGCAGCAGCAAGATTTCCGGCAGTCACCGTACCAAATTCCTCAGAGAACCAACTCACATCAACGCTCGCTCTCCACTCAGTTACCGTCTGCAACCGGAACCTTCGATTCATCCCCCCAGTCAGCACCCGGCGACATTACAACACCGCAGGATTCGTTTAGAAGGATGTCTTTGTCACCACATGCGCTTGAGCAGCAGTCGCAGTCGGGATTGTCCGCACAAACGCGCCCTGCATTCTCGCGATCGTCCACTTCACAGTCCTTTCATTCATCCATGTCGGCTCAGACGGCTTCACCAGCGACAGTTACGGGTACTGCAACGCCTCATCTGCACAACGAGAACGATAAGGCCACATCCTACCCTCATAGCCCGGCGGGCTATCCATTCAGTTCGCATATGTTGAGCTCCAACCCGCTGACTGTGTCGTTGCCACCTGAGTCACAGCAGCTGAACGGGTCAGCGCTTGATCCCAACGACCCGCACACCGCCATGTTCATGGCCGGCAGTGGGAACCTTGCCCAGCGGTTCGCTACGACGTACAATTACAACCCGAATTACTCGGGTAAGGCTGGACTGATGTCGATTGCGGACGACACACAGTGTGTCCAATAACCAAGTAACTTGGCTTGATTGGTTGACTTTGGTTGATTACGTAACAAGCAACCACGAGTAAACGTCTATCCAAACAACCACAAGTAAGGGTTTTCACATTACTCGAGTCAACTCGGAGTTGTTGACGACCTTACCGCATTAGGCATTTTTATAGAGGAGGGGGGGCGACTGGAGTTTTTGGGCATCGGGGTAGGAAGAATTATTAGCCTGGATGTTCTAATTGGCTGGAAATTGTCGCTCTTGAGATTTGCTGTCGAAAACTCCCCACGCCTGCAGCCTCTATGTACAGAAGCCAGACTCTAGGCTAAACATGCCTACCCACCCATTTTCTGCCCGTGGAGGATCCACGTGTTCCCTCTACCTAGGACTCCCTCTGAATCCCTTAGCTATAACCTAGAAAACATAGAGACCCCAAGTTCCGTTTCCACCAATACTGCTGCCACCTTCGAAAGGGAGCTACCGACATCTACTCAATGCCCTTTCCCTATTGACTGGGACAAAATTCGCTATGAAAGGAAGGTGTTGCCGTCGATTCGATATCGTCAGCCTCATAAGCGGGCCCTCAACTCTAAAACCCAGCCCTCGCCAATCTACAAACACGGTGCGCAGCTCACAACCAATGGAGAGAACAAGTTTTGGCTCTGCAAATACTGCCATTTTAGTGGCCAGCACGATTCTGCTCTGTACAGTAGTGAGAGTATTACTAGTATCATGTATCACCCAAAGAATCAACACAAACTTGAAGAATTCGGTTACAAAATGATGGCATCAAACGCGTTCGATATGGCCAAGGGAGCAACGAGCTCCATACCATACCTTGGAGGCCGGCGCTTGATGTTTAACGACTCTCGGTTCAAGCAAGAGTTTATTGACTGGGTTATTGATCTTGACTTCACCTTTCGACAAGCGACACATCAGAGCACTCGTTGAACGAAATCGGCTCGATTTAGGGACTGTAGCGGCAATTGAGTGTTAAAAGCACCTTCTTCGAACTGGTATGCTCCTGTAGATGAGTATAGATATCGAATCGGGAAATTCTATCGAGTAATGTCAATCAACCAAGCAAAGTAAAGGCTTTTCGTCAACCAACCAAGCAAGGTAAAGGATTCTCGTCAGCCAAGTCAAGTAAGAGGGTCGATTTTTGGTTTACTTGGTTGACGGACACACTGGTCCTATATGGTATCACGAAGCAACTCGGGTGTCATACTGGCGATAATGCGACATCAAACGATACGTGTTTGCAGCATTTGTCAACCAGGCTCAAGCAGGATCATAATGTACGTTCCTACCTTATTCTTATCCAGTCATCTAACCTATAGTAGATCAACTGGGATCCGAAACGGCACCGTATCCGCTGTATCCTTCATATTATCAACCTATCCCTTCAAGCCTTCCTTTTCGCGTCTTCACATGCAGACTTGCTATCAGTCAGGTAACTCAGTTCGAACTGACTGAACTGACTGATGTTGGACTGACGTTGGCTGTTTTTAAAGCAGAATTTTGCAGTCGTGATAGCTACATCTAGTGCAGCTTCGAAGCCGCGCTAGTCCTAGATACATAAACACTAATCCTATACAAGTTAACATATAGAGCATCGAGCCAATCGGAGCTTATGGAAGCGCGCTAGCCGCATCTAGCAAGCCTTTCGCGTCGCGTCGCGTCCGCTATACACACGACGCTATAACCTATTTCACCAGCGAGCGGCCCACCCCACCGAGCGGCCCACGAACACCAGCGAAGCGTTCGCGCAGCGACGTAGCTTAGCACCACAACACAATTTTTATACTCTTGCAACAGTATAGTATTATTCAGAAGCGTCGCTATCATTCGCATCCTCAATTTCTACCTTGCACGTACGAGAGTTATGCCCAATCTTGCCGCAACGGCCGCAGCGTCGCCCTGCGCGCACCCTCTTCGCCGGCTCCTCACCCTCCTCACGACTGCCACCCTCCTTTTCAGCAATTAAGTCTAATACCTCGCCAACTGTCAGTGACTCCACTGCCCGTACGTAGCGTCTCTTGCGACTCTTACGCTTGGTAAGCGTCTCTGTTGCGTTTCGAAGGCGCCCCATCTCTGCGCGCATCAACACCATCTCATGAGCTATCTGCTGCGCGCCTTTTGTTAGCTGTCGCACCTGCTCGTCAAGTGAACTTGCTGGAGACCCTCGATGGATTTGCATTTTGTTTCGAATCAGCGTTGATTGCGCCTCCATTTCTTTGGCGTTGCGCGGTGTTTTCGCCTCCCAAGCGGCGTCATCTTGCTGTGGTGGAGTTTGCGTACGCAGCTGCACATCTAGCTTTGATAACACGGCTTGTGGATCATGTGGACACAATCCAGCGCCTCGAAACCCTGCGCAAGCATTCTCTCTTGTAAATGCCTTCTCAAAAGCTACTTTAAAGGCTGGTAAGAAGGTCTATTTGTTGATGTGGTGGATGCGATCGCGTGCCAAGGCTGAGATCTCATCGCCGTACGCGCGCTTCAACGGCGAGAAGCAGGCAACGTCAAGCGGCTGCAGGAGGTGCGACGAATGTGGAGGCATACAGAGGGCGATAATCTTCTTCTCCTTGCAGCGATCCTGAAAATCTATTGAGCAATGGCTCTCGTGGCCGTCAATAATAAGCAGCCTGTACGCTCCTACAGGCCTCGCATACGTATCAAAGTGTTCAAGCCAAGCAAGCGCTAGATCGTTGTTTGTTCAGCCTGTTAGGCTTACTTGAATAACCCAGTTGCGTGGGAGGTCCTCAGTAAACCAGTTAGAGATAAGAACCTTGCCGGCAAAGATGAGGAAGGGTGGGATAACGCGCCCTATTGCGCTGACGCCCTGTATCAACGTAGTCCACTCGCGATCACCAGACTGAAGCTTCTTTGCTTTCCCAGGCTTGTCCATGCCTGTCACTACGAGTTGCGACGATATCTTGCCCATCAGGAAGCCAGACTCGTCAAAGTTGTACATGTCGTCGTCTATAATGCCGTACTTCGCCTTCATGTTCTGAACCAGCATGAACCAGGGCTCAATGATTGCTGGGTCCTCGCAGAGAGCTCGCTGGCGATCGTATGGACGGCTCCAGCGCGTGCGCAGCTCAGGTGTACGCTGGATAAACCTGTCAACCCAGTTCTTGCCAACAGACTTGACGCCGCGATCGCGCAGCAATCTATCAGCCATATCTCGTACGTGTAGCTTCGAGGGCGGTACTCCACGTAGATTCTCATCAAATATACGTTGTACAATCACCTCCTCTACTAGCTTCGTCAGGCTCTTTGAGTTTGGCTCGCAGTCGCGTCTAGAGGGCTTCCCGTCGCGTCGCCGTCGTATCGTTGTCTTTGGGACTTTGTAGACTGCCTCCGCACGTCGCAGGCTTGGAATTTGGTTACGTTTAACGTCTAAGAGGGCAAGCTGCACATCAGCTTCAGTATAAGCCTTAAGAGGTTGTAGTTGTTGAGACATTACGTGTTGTTGCTAGGTACACGTGTTGGTGGGGGAACTGGGCCGCTCGGTGGGGTGGGCCGCTCGCTGGTGAAACAGGTTACTACTGTTGCTATAATACTTTTTTAGTGTACTTCATGTTTACTCCCTCTAATTTAGGCCTTCGCCGCCTTGTAGAATACGACAAGGGCAATTCTCCTCTACCATCGCTATCGAACGCGCCTACTGTTGGCGATACTGCGAGCGAGGCACAGGTTGATGAGCCCGTGGCAGTACAGGCGGACTTCCCCAACGACGGCGACGACGACGATAATTACGACGGGCTTGATTTTAAGCGTGTGCCGTACCTTGAGCGGCGCCAAGTGGAGCGCAATAGTCGCGGTGGGCCAAAAAGCTGGATCTACCGCCACGGCTGGGCCGTCTGGCACCGCAAGTACAAGAAGAACTACTGGCTTTGCCGGTACTGCCATCAACGACGGAAGCAGGAGGCTTGCTACGAGGCTGACAGCACTACAAACGCCGGCCGACACCTCTCAAGCAACAAGCCTGGGCACTCACACGGACCTAACGGACCTATACCAATTGATAGCAGGGAGGGCAATATTATGGGCGCGCTCGCAAAGTCCCAGGTACATATTATGAGGTCTAAAGGGACAGAAGTATCGCAAGAGGTGGCAAATGAGATGGCAGCAAGCTTTTCAACCTCTCGATTTCAGGACGCGCTGAAGGACTGGGTAGTCGCGGACAACCAGAGCCTCCGCGTAATAGAAACGCCGCAGTTTCGAGCCATGATTGCGGCCGTGAACCCGCTAGCCAAAGCCCTCCTTTGGCGTAGCCACCAAACGCTCCGCGATCATATTATTGCTGAGTACAACACATACATACTAGCTGTTACCAACTACCTTCGTGAAGCCCGGTCGCTTATACACGTGTCGTTTGACAACTGGACTTCAACTGGTGGGCAGTATGCTTTTACTGGCCTCTGCGTACATTACCTCAACAGTGAGGGCAAGCTAGTTGACCACCTGCTTGGGTTGCCTGAGCTACACGGAGCGCACACTGGCAATAATATTGCCGCTGTAGCAACAACAATACATCGGCTATTTGGCGTTGACAACACGAGCGTTAGGTACTTTGTGCTTGACAACGCAAGTAACAACGATACTGCAGTTGAGTCCTTAGCAGAGGAGTTTGGCTTTATCGCAAGCGAGCGGAGGCTGTGGTGCTGCTGCCATATACTTAACCTAGGCGCGCAATTAGTAATTTGGGGCAAAGACCGTAGCGCGTACGAGAATGACGCCGCCCACCTTGAGGACGAGGAGAAGTACATGGATGAGTGGCGCAAATACGGTCCTATTGGCGTCCTCTTTGACGTGATTGCGTCTATCTGCACGCCTCAAACTCGGCAACTACTAGAGCGCCTACAGCGCGAGGAGGCAGAATCTCTAGGTGTTACACCTCACATCCGGCAGCTTGTTAAGCCTGTCAAGACCCGCTGGAATAGCTATTTTAGCACGTTTGTGCGCGCAGCTGAGCTACACGGCCCTATCGATAGCTATATTGAATGTAAACTTGG